CATTTCAAGTTAACAATGAACAGGACATCAGCCTTGTGCTATCTTTGAGAAGATGTTTGTGAAGGAAATACTTGGGGGTATTTTACAGTGGGCTGAAAATGGGATAAAATCTGGCTATAAAGTAGCTTTGCTATATGATGGAAAGATTCAGCAGGCTATGTTTCTATAACTGCAGCTGTTCTAACAATAATTTTAACAAACAGACATAAAGACAAATAGACATATCAAACATATAGCCATAAAGACTGAAAGCATGCAAAAATTCAGGGCTAATTATAAGCTTTGAGTAGTACTTTAGACAAGTCTCCAGATCAAAACTATTCTTTAAGATACTTATAGTGTCCAGTGGAGAAGCAAAATGAGCATGTGGGGACTTTGAAACTGAAGTTCAAAGAAGTCTACCCATACATTTAAAGGGTAAAATAGAGTAAAAATTGCTTTTATTTTAGAACACTTAACTGAACAAATGGAAAATATAGCACCCATAAAGATATATAGCATAGCCTAGAGAGTGGAATGAAGTGATGGAGTACATAAAAGAAACACTCAGAAGTGCCATTTAAGAATACTTGAGAATAAAGAGATGACCAGCAGGTAACCAATTACTGTTTTTATGGACAGGTAAGTACAGTTTAAAAAGTTGCTTCTCGCACTCTCTTCAACATATTTTCTGTACAGTTGTGTTAAAATGAGATTCCAGTTACAAAAACCACTCAGGTGTAAAATTCTTCCTGCACTAGCAATTTGTGTGGCAATTTCAGATTCTTGTAGCTACTCAATTAACCCTGTATGTGTGAATGCACAAATACATAGGCTTTAATGCCACTGAAGTTTAATAGTCTATTTAATCTCCGTGTGTTTACCTTTCTGTCTTACGAAACTACTTCTAGAAGATTTTTTCCTCCCACTATTTATGTCTAGCTCCTAATTTGATTATTGGTCTTTTTCTCTTTTCTGTTCTTTTATAGACAAGCCAGTATTGCTTATCTGTAGAAAACCAGGCTACAGTAAGCCATGTTAAGACTATGGTTTACAAGGCAATCTATAAACCTTTACAGCTATTGACAGGAACCGGAGGGTTGACGAAAAATGGATTATGGGTTTTAATGCAAAATCATATGCTTCCTTGATACCATTTCAATGGAAAATACTAAAGAAAAAAAATTTTTTAAAAGATACATGTATAAAAACTGAGGGATATGGAATTCATACGTCTGGTTTACAATATAAAGCTTGGGGGAAACTTGCAAATTAATTTTAAATTTAAAAAATTAATTAAAAGAACTCATTTAGAAGATCCTTAAGATTTCCTAATATAGTAGAAAAGTGTTTATTATAATTACAGATATAAAAAAGATCTTCAATAAGAAAAGATTGAATTAGAATCTTGCATCCTACAACCTAATGTCTGTAATGGCATTGCACCTTGAAATGGCAATTTGCAGATTTCTTTAACTTACTTAATTAGATGATGAAAACAAAGACAAAGAGCTACTTCCTAGTATCATTCAGTTCATTATACAGACTGTTCTTCCTTGTCTAATATTATACAATACCTATTTCTTAATACCAGGTTTTTTAAACCATGACCCAAAGAAATCTTCCATGTCACAGACAAAGGAAGAGTCTCCCCGTCTATTAAGAAAACAATTGTCTTCATAAAAATATTATAATGATAAGTCTCTAATAGAAGACTGACAACATTACTGTTTTACTCTTTCTGGAAATCCTGGGGTTTAAAATAGATATATTGAAAGTACCTAGAAAATTAGATATTGGTAAGACTTTCAGGGGAAGTGCCAGAAACTCAGCCAAAAGTCTGGAATGCAGGGTTAGCCATATATTCTTATGGATTATGGTGGTTTTGCCACAGAACACTACCTCTCCTTTAACTTGAAGCCTTTTTGATGGGGTCTCTAACATTTCTTCCCCTTGTGGCAGTAACAGCCTCAGTCTAAAAAGATTCATTCTTCCTGGTATTCACATGCAGTTCATCTGAGATTAACTCTGCTACAAGTAGGTGTTTGATAGCAACTGTCTTTTTCCTGACTGTTAAAGAAAACAGTTAGATATTAATATTCACACTCAAGTCTAAGCATAATTGCAACAGTTAGTGACATCTTAAAAGCTTTGCTATACAAAATCGACTTGAACATTCGGCTGAACACCCATTGAAAAGATATCTTAAAGAAAATTATTTTCTAGGTTTCACCCACTAGATGAAAATCACTGATGAAAACTGATCAGAAAATATTCATGCAGAGTTTGATTTCTAGAGAAGCTCCACATGATTTTCCCTCAGAAGTGCAGCAAGCTAAGAAAAAAGTAATTGAGCTAAGGTCTAAGTTTGGAAGTACACAGCAGGAAAGTCCGCCTTGTACGTGTTGATGATCTCACTCTTGAAATAAGAAGAGATGAAAATCAAAGTAATCATCACTCTTTCTGCTCAATCAACTACCACCTTATGGAGTTGCCTGGACAGAACAGCTCAACTTTTAATAATAATTAAGGAGAGAAAAGTTAAAAGTTCTTGTCCTGGTGAGAAAAAGAGCATAGGTGGGTTCTGACAAGAATCTCCTTTTTTTTGTCCTGAAATGGGATTTTCATGCACATTCCTTTCCCTTTGAAATTTCAGTTATATGACAGATATCAGACTGAAGACAGTCCCTTTCTTCCTCTTCCTCTGACACAGGTAATTTATAGCTTCTATTTCTGTTCAGCTCTTTGTGTTCCCATGCTTCAATAGTTCACAGTCTACATGAAAAACTGCTAACTTAAAAGTAAATAGATTATTATTTTTAATTCCAAAAAATGTTTGATTTTTTTATTTCCAGTAGACCAAATGATGGCTACTGAATAGTGTAGCCAAACAGTTGAATAACACAGACTGGGAGAAAGGAAGCTTCCCGATCAGTTCTGCCACTTCAGAGACAAGCCATCATACAGCACAGTGGCTTGCAATTTTGTGAGGACTTGCCATCTTCACTGTGAATTTGAGACTGCAAGATCATTACTGCTCTCTTATGTATGTTTGGACAAACTCCAAAGTAACAGAGCAGAAATTGAGCTTTTGGACAAAAGTTTGCTACATTTGAGTGTCTAATGTTAATTTCCTATATTGGTAATTAGGTCTGAGAACAGAAATGGATTTCAAAAGTACTAAGGTAGTTCAGATTCCCTTTCAGTGGGATGTCCTGTCCAAAAGCACATCTGAAATAATGTCCATTTCTTCAAAAGTTTAAATATAATTCTATGTAGTCTTGAGTCCTTAAACCTCAGATACATTTTGTGTTTCATTATTTTATTTATCATCCTGCTTTTACGCAATACACATATTTTTTCTTCAGCTCTATGTAAGAAATATTTCAATATCATACACTCAATAACTATCCTAATGAGACTATAAAAGAGATACAATACACAATTTTAAAACTGATATTTTGGTGCATTTATCTATTTTGTGCATCTTGAACTCAAAGGGTATCTTGAACTCAAAGTTAATGTATAAGTAAGACTGTGCTACAATAATCTTCCAAAACTCACAGATTTCTTCTACTACTAATTTTTTCCTTCTGCCTAAAGTAGTTTTGATGCAATGCTTTCTTATTATTCCACATACATTTCCAGCACACCAAAATTCTACTTACAAACTAATTCAGAGAGGCAAAGAGAAAAAACACATTGTTCCCATTTCTTGTGAACAATGCCCATTCCTAGACTAAATGCAAGCCAGAGGACCTTTCAATAAATTGCTCTCCAGAGAAGTCATTATGGTAGACCATCAGGGAAGGGCAAAATAATTAGCTGTTTATTAGTTCAAGAATGGAGCAGCTACTCCCATTGCTTTACATTCAGTGCTTCACATGAAATATCAATCAACTCATTTCACAGTCGTTGAATATGACACCAAGTTGTCCACAGCACATAATTTGTTTCTGTGTTTACTTGCCAGACTTTCAACTGCCAGGCTGCATAGGAGTCTCTGACCACCTTGTATTTGATTTGCTGCAATGATTTGCCTTCTTTCATATTTATTGGCAAAACCAAAGAATAAGGCTGAACAGACACCTTTTAAATGCAGGAGCTTCTCTTCCAAAAATACAAAAGATACATGCAATGAATTCATTAGATTCTTATGGGAACATTGTACATGGCAGCCTTTAAATGCCATTGTGGAAAAGAGCCATTGCTTTGAAGAGGTTATTTTAAAATCTTAAAGTACAGTAAGATACTAACAGGTCCTCCATTTCCAATCTGTATTAAAAAGAATAAACCTAATTTAAGAAGGGGAATAATATGATAAATCCAAACTCAAAAGTTGCACAAGCAGCCACAGCTACCCATAGCCCCATAGCAACAGAAACATTCAGCTTGCTTTCTAAATCTGAATATGTTGCTGCAACACTGGGAAAGACCTAGAGTTCAGACTGTAACAAGGGACCAACATTGTTACCTAATAGGTAACCTAATAGGTTTATTACAGCCACACTATCACATTCTTTCAGTTCCTCCAGCCTTTACACGTGCAGCACATCTATGTATAACGTCTTAAAAATTATACTTTTACATTCAAGACTGCTGGTAACTCAGTGAAAGAAAAGCAACCACTGAAGAGCTGATGAATTCCAAATAAATATGCTGTTATTTTATGATGACTCTCATTAACTCCACATTATTAAGTTCTGTATATTTGATTGCATCTTGAAACAACATCTCAAGAGTTTTCTTGAAAATTACTTCATTTCATACTTTTGTTTTCTAAAATGGTTATTTTACCATTGAAGATCTACCAGCATTTTTTCAATAGACAACACAGAACATAATATTGTTTTTAGGTTTTTTCTCTTGATGAGACACAAAAATCAGAACTATAGCTGAAAACAGGAGCAAATCAGATCAAAACAATTTAGCACTGTGGCCTTTAGTGTCTTTTTTCAAAAGTTAGTATTGATGCCAAGATCAGCAACCCAGATAAAAATCTTTGTAAGTAAGTCACTTACCATATTTATTGATGATACGGGACCAATGCTGTTAACATAAATGTCAACATCAATAACTGTTGGTTTTACTGTGGAGAAAAAAAAAAGTATTATTATTTTGTAGACAACATAAATAATCACTTTAAATATTTTTTCCCAATAACCGTAAGTTCTTTTTTTCAGGTAAAACTACTGAGAAATATGGATAATGTATTTTTAGGAAAACATGGTTCTATTCCTCCTACCCAACAAAAAAAAATGCAATAAACTAAAACCTGTACCACTTCATTATCACAATTCCAATTTGTCAGCAACAATTTGTTAAAGAAACTTTCAGTGTTAGGCATGGTAGCTGAAAGTAAAGCTCAAACCTAAAATGTCTGACATGAAAGTAGAAATAATGTTGCATATTACTTTTTCCCTCTGCCTCAACATTCAGGTCCTTTAGCCTGTTCATTCCAGATCAAAAAAATCTTTCCAGATTACTGCATCTCATCAGCCCTGAAATCATCTTAACTTAGAGAAAAATCTCTATGAAATCTGGTTAGATATACCTAAGCAACTCTTCTTTCAATTTAGACTTCTTCCCTTCAGTCCACATTGCCTTTGCACTCTTTAATTCAGAGGCTTTTGAATTTTTTGGTTTACTCAATGCACATTTCCCATAAGACCTTCCATGTTTTCAGACTTTGATAACTTTATAAGCCAAGACAAGGTCTGTATTTCTTTCTTTTGCTGAGGCCATTAGGATTTCTCTTTCTTTCAGCATCTTTGATGTCAGTGTAGTTGCTGAACATTATTCAGCTCTTAGTGACATAATCTAACTCTAAAATTTTTTACTTATACTGCCATTCTTCCAGCCCCACAGAGTATACATTAAGGTCTAAAATGAAATCTAAATTAGTGGTTTACTTCCTCCAGAGTTAGCTGACTCAAAATTAAGTATAAAAAAAATAAATGCTGTCTTAACCTGCAGAATGATAATTGATGCAGACTTGCCCCTAGTAAACCAATGGCATCTGTTGGACATCTTTCTTTCCCATAGAAGCACTTTCTCCTCTACATTGTTTACAAAAATCTCAAGAGAGTATTCAAACCACTGAAGTTTGGGAACTATGTTGGGCTTGGACTTTTTTCACTGACCCCCTAAGCCTCCTACAATGAGTAAATGCAGGCATATCAGACATGCAAAACTCAGAAAGCTTTCTTCTGGGAAGCTACTGAGCAGAGAAGTGAGGAAAAGCTAAATACCAAAGTTCTGATGGAAACTTATCTCTGGTAACCATCAGTCTACTGGTCTAAAACCATCTGATAGAGAGACAGGAATCTTCACATGTAAAGATGAATATTTTTTTGCCTGCATCCCCCAAATTTCAGACTATAAAAGAGGTGTCAAGTAGTTTTAAAGTACTTGAAAATTTAGATGGTTATGAAAAAAAGAATTTGCAAGCTGGCTTGTCCTGTAATACTTTGGTATGTACATATCATTAGGAAGGCTATATCCCCTGTTGCAAAAAACAGACATTAAACTGTGTACAAATACTGGTTAAAGATGATAGCCATTCTCTCTAACTCATTAACTAACACATATTTCTTGACTGTGTATGGTCAGAATATCCAGGATTATTTAAGGTCATGGTTTCAAACTGTCTGAAGTACTGGCTGATAAACTCAGATCTCCCCTTCAGCAAAAGAAAATGTGAATTCAGCTGAACAAGCTCAGAGGATTAAAGCAATTCTAATTGTACCCAGTTAATAACTAAATAGGAGTCTAGCAGCTTCTGGTAATGAGTTGCCTCAAAATGCAGTAATAAATGTCATTACACAGGAATTGGTAATAGCAAGAAACTACAGCTAGCTCTTCCATCAGAATAGCATTCATGGGACAAAGAGCTCTAAGCTTTATAGGCTTTATGCACGTGTTAACCTGGAAGTTCAAGTCTAAGGAGTTCTGGTGAACATTAATGGCACTAGACTTAAGGATGCAAATTGGCATGCAACTGAATCTTGGCAGGAGCAAAATTCAGGACCAGAACACAGTGCTTGAAATCTGATTTTTTAATCATTGCAGTAAAGTCTTACTCACAGTAAAGGTCTAACCTTGAAACAGAACACTAAACAATGGTCACTTCTTCTATCAGACATTTCCAGTGAAATTCATATTGAAAGTAAATAATAATAAAAAAAAAAATACAGGTGAGCTATTATACTTGTTCAATTTTTAAAAAAAAAAAATTGAAACTTTCTTTGAATTATTTTATTTTCCTAGGCAGAGATAAAAAATACAACTGTAATTTGATTGTATTATAAATGTGCATTCAGGTTTTAAAATAAAAGAGAAGCGCATAGCTCTTGTTACATTTGGTCTTTCATGCATATAAACACATACAAATAAACACCTAGGACAACTATAGGATTCTTCTGGTCCTGCACTGTGGATTTACACTGGTAAAAAAAAACCAAAAAAAACAGTACCTGAGCTTGAATCTCATTAAAATCCATGAAGACATTACTGTTGGACATATGTGAGTTGATCATGTGTATTAAAAAAATCAACAGATAAATCATGAGAATTTTAATAGACTCTTGAGTAAATCAAAAGTGGGAATGTTATACAATTTCATGTCATGTATGGGAAAAAATATGCAAAAAGTTCCTGTTATTTTATTATACTTATTTACTACTCTGAATTATCCCATCCTTTTTAAATATCTCTTATTTTTTGATAGATCTCCACTATCCAGAACTGATGCTTATTTAATGAATGAAACCACTTTTCTTCCTTCAGAAAGCTTCCTCCACATTTGAAGTCTGTCCAAATAGCACTAATGTTCCTGCATAAATCATAAATATTTAGAAATATTTTTAAAATTTTAATATTGAGAAATATTTTTACAAGCTCAATTAAATGGAATATGTCTTACTGAGTTGTCATAAATTTTAAAATAAAATTATTTTTTGTTGAGAGTTAACCCTTCTTGCATTGTTCAACCAACACCCCAGTTTATTCTGGTTTTACTCAACACAGTGGAGGTAAAAAATGTTATAGAACAATACACATTTATAGAAGCAAAGCAAGTAGAACTAGATTTTTAGAAGGCACACAACTACATAAAAATCACAGTATGATCTCTGTTCAAGAACTACAGGGCCACTTGAGTTCTGCCCAAATTTTCACAAGACTTCTGAATGCAAATGACTAACAAGATTGGCTCTGCAGTAATGAGGTATTTTTTTTTATTGCTTTATAATGATATTTTACATTCTCTCATTGCCACATAAATTGTTATTTTTAAATTAGGACAAAGCTGTAATAAATCATTACACAGTTATTGGTAACTGCAATAGTAGTGATTATAGTGTTAATTTTTACTTTGCATTAATGATGATGACTATTCCAATTTTCCTACATGACCTTATAGGCAGCATCTATTTGCCTAGCTATTCTTATAAAACAAACTGCTATGCTAACAAATTGCTTTTTAAGACTAAATATGGTTCGCTAACACATCTCCATTTTACAACAAATCACCACATTTGAAGAAAAACCTGGTAACAGGAAGTGTTAAGCCGCCATCACTGGATGTATCTAAAAGATGAGTGGATGTGGCACTTAAGGACATGGTCTAGTGCTGGATTTGGCAGTGTTGGGTTAAGAGTTGAACTCAAAGATCTTAATAATCTTTTTCAACCTAATTTATTCAATTAATCTCTTCTACAATGCTACGAATCTATCAGTGAGGAAAATTAAAAACCCTCATTCTTCCTGCATGGAAGAGAATGGGCTTGAAAACAGATGTCGAAGTCCTCCACTTGTTAGAGACACGGAAACACTGACAGAAATCCATACATTTTAGGTTCAAACTACCAAAACAGAAGTGCAAATGAGAATCAAAAGAAGAAAGAAAGTTTGGATTAAAGCAATATCAGGATAAGAACACAGTCCTCTGAAAACAATAATTTTTTTATATGCTAGGTTTGGTTGTCATTTTGTCCAAGAGTGCGGATGACAGTGTGCACATAAATGGACTCCCTCAATTAACTATAAATAACTTTTAGTCTTCATTTCCCACCATAACAATCAATCAATCTTCAGAACTTTCATCCTTCATTTACCATTCCCTAATGTACAAGCTGTAATTTTTCAAGTATTATGTTATGGAATGAAAACTGTAGATGTTAATGGTTAGGCTTGTTTTTCAATCAATCCCTACAGTTTTAATTTTTGTTTTACTTATCATCATCACAGGGGAAGAGTTCCTGTCTGATATCATAAGACTGAACAATAATAGAATTTGTTCCTGCAAAGTCTAGCAAGCTAGCAACCAGGGTCTGGATGAACAATAACAGCCAACAGAAAACTATACAGATGTAAAAATGAGCAACAATATTTAAATTAATATGTGCAGAACATAATATATCCCTGTTTTAAGATGACAGAACAATTAGTTTGTGCTGTGACCTTGAAAGGGCAACTAACACTGATCATCTATGCAGTTTACAAATACTTTCTAAGAAACCTCTTTAATGACAACATACTCTGGGTAATCAGAGAGGGAAGGGATAAGAAGAAAAGTATTTTCTTCTTGAATTAGTACCTCAGACTTTCCCTGACTCTTTACCTAACTTTCAACTCATGGGATCCATATAGTTTGAATGCTATACTCCCAAATTAAAAAAAAAAAAAACAGTGAAGAAAAGACGAGAGAATAAGAACTAGCATCTTCTACATTTAGTTTTGTGTGTGACAGTTAAAACTAAGAGTTAGGCAAACATTAACTGTCAACCAAACTTTCCTACCTACAATGCCATTCAAGAAAAATATTCCATCTGTGTATGCATCAAGCCAGTTCAGCAAATAGTCACTGTCAGGAAATGAAACAAAAAATAAAAGTTGTCTGTGTAAATGAATTATTTACATTCACAAATATGAGGTTGTGAATTTAAGGGAGCTTGCTGTTTAGTAATTGGGTAAAAGGTCTCTTTCTCCAACACACAAGCAGTACACTTTCTTTCAACCCAAAAGACTACACACAAGATATAAGTACTGCAAAGATACAAGTGGCTTCTTAGAAATTAGAGAAAGTAG